AAGAAATCCGGAAAATCATAACCACTAAAGTACTATTATAATTTTCCATTATTCTCAACCAAAATATTCCTGAACGCCAGTAGGATCCTGGCAAAAACGATACAGAATTTAAATTATCAACTGTATATCAAGTTTTGGAGCATGTCAGATGAGTAAATTTATCAGGAAAAGTTGAAAAAAATACCGCTTCCCATGTCTCATGGCAAAAATTTCTGCTCACAACACTCTTTTTGACGAAGTTCTTTTATTCACTGCCAGAGGTTGAATCAATCACTTCTAGATAGAGCTGGAATAAGGGCGTAACAGCTTTTGTATACAATGACTTCTCTCGTTGATTGACTCAAGGTACGCCTATACAAACCAACATATCCATCGGATCGGCCGAATTGCAAAAATTCCAAAAACACCAAAATATAGGGAAAAGGGATGTAATGTCGGCCTAAATTCCCCTAATTTCTGGCCATACATAAATTCAACAGTCAAATAAATTTTCAATAGCGACCAAAAATATTCATTAGTACTGTCCCAATGGCCGCGTTCATCTAGAAAAAATTGAGCGATGGACCCAATCTTAGATCCATAGCAAAATTAGAACCACTTCCCCTACCTTTTTGAATTTTCGATATTTTGTCCACTAAGTATTGGCTCTTATTACCGAAGTCACTTCACGGTGAAATGACAACTTACCACTCACGGTGAAGTGATTCCCATTTGATTTACACGACAATCTTTTGCGCTTTACGAGATATTCAAATTTGAAAATTGTATTTTGTTCATGCTTTTGATGATGATGATGATAATGATGATGATATGAAAATACCACTCACTGCAGCAAGACAACTGTCGGTGTGGCCTATCCTCGCTGTTCGACTTACTTACTTACTTAAGGGTCCTGTGCACCACCAGCGGTGCAAAGGGCCATCGTGAAAGACTTCCATCCTGGGCGGCTGCTCGCTTTTGCCTTGACCTGGGCCCAGGTCAGATTCCTATCGACTTGCTTAATTTCCTTATTGAGGCTCCGCCGCCATGAGCCCCTGGGTCTGCCTCTGCTGCGATGTTCTGCCGGATTCCAATCCAGCGCTTTCTTGCAGATTTCGTTTCCGCCCCGTCGAAGTGTGTGGCCGACCCACCTCCACTTTCGCTCTCGAATTTCTGTTGCTATCGGCTTCTGATAACATCGACGATGGAGCTCGGCATTCGAGATCCAGTTGTGAGGCCACCACGCACGAATTATATACCGCAGGCATCGGTTGATGAAGACCTGCAGCTTTTGAGTGTTCTCCGCTGATACACACCACGTGTTCGACTGTTCGACTTGATCAAGTTTAATAACCTCTAATTGTAAAAACGATTTGGGTGAATCCGTGGGCAACATCGCCCACGTGCATCTACGGGATGAATGAGAATCTCCTTCCAACAACAGGATCATACCGGTCAGAAAACAGGCCATCTAACAGGAGGATGTCCTAATTATAGTCGCTATATTCATAGTCTGACGGATAGAATCTCGGGAACCAATTGAGCTGTCAAATAGCGGAACCAATCGAGCAAATCACGACCAATAGCAGAGCACATCAGCTATTGCGAACAAAACTTCGGAAACCCTTTTCTCGTGATTCAAGGCTCGCCTACGCAAACTAACACCATCTTTGGGTTGAGGAAAGTTTCCCCTATCCGACGACACTGGCAATTTGCGTTCGATTAGCGAGGAAAGAATAATCAACGTTTTGTTTATAAAAGTTCATAGTACCTTTTCAATTGTTGGTCTGCAATATATTGAATTGGTTCCGCTTTTTGATAAATCGAAATTCTATCCGCCAGACTATGAATATAGCGGCTATAGTCCCAATGAGTGGGGAGAAGAGTCCGCCCTCTTTTCACGAAATGTTAAAGACAAGGAGTTGGAAATTCCACTTTCCCCATCCATTTCGCAAATGGTTCGATGAACAGCACCCATCGAAGGAAGCTGACCTGGTGTTCATAATGGACGGGAAGAATCGAAAGCCTAATTCGTAGAATTTGTTACAGAATGTGTCATGCGTATATGAGCACATGCGTGACACAGGGGCAGGGATGCCATTCGCCCTAGTGTAAGCAGGATGATGAGTTGAAAAGAAACCTCGCACTATGACAAAAGCAAACTCACCTGAGAGATTTTTATTTTGTTTTCACTTTCTATCGCTTCTCCCACTTCGCAAACAAAATTGGTGGAGGTGCGAACGTCAGAAACTGTATTTAATACAGTTACTGACAGTCGCACCTCCACCAGTCCAACAAACAGGAGCGTATGAGTGATCACTAGGGAGCACCGTAGAGAGTTCGTTTGCGGTGAAGATTTTGATCATAGCGGGAGTTCCACAAGGCTCCATCCTTGGTCCAACGCTCTGCAACGGGATGTACAACGGCGTGCTAACGCTGAAGCTGCCCAAATGAGTTGAGATCGTTGAATTAGCGGACGACGTCGTCTTGACGGTAACCGGCGAGACGCTAGAAGAGGTGGAAGTGTTGGCGACCGAGGTGATCGACATGATTAGTAACTGGATGCAAGGAGCGAAACTGCAGATAGCCCACCACAAAACGGAAGTGCTATTGGCCAGTAACTGTAAAGCGGTACAACGTTGATGTTTTCAATCAGTCACGTAAAGTTCTGCCGGAATCTTTGGAGAAACAATAACACCTTTACGCTGCCATCTTTCTCGCGGAAGTGAGTGTATAAACAGACGAACAGTGAACAGTCAACTCTCTCACTCTCTCGTGCTGTGTCTAACAATCTCTCCAGTGGTGCCAGGATAAATCTCCGAGGAGACAAGCAGAGATTCACTCCAGATAATGATATCTCTCCTCCAGTCGGTAAAGGCCTCCCTTAGCTCAGTCGGTAAAGGCGCAGATACAAAGCAAGACCATGCTGGAGGTGGCTGGGTTCGATTCCCGGTCCGGTCTAGGAATTTTTCGGGTTGAAAAATTTCTCGACTTCCCTGGGCATAGAGTATGATTGTACCTGCCACACAATTATACTAATGCAAAAATGGTACAGGCATCGAAAGCTCTCAATTCATAACTGTGGAAGTGCATCTAGAACACTAAGTTAAGAGCACGCAATAAGCTAATAATGCCATACGCAATAAGCTTGAAATGCGAAGAAGAAGAAGAATGATATCTCTCGCACCCGATTGATTCTTGGTCGTCATATTTTAACCGCCCCTAGTGGAAATTCCTTGAACTTGCAGTATGACCAACCGGTGTAAACTAACGATTTTAAATTGGCTCACTACTTGATTAGCCTATTGGTCCCAAGGAAATCGATTAACGCACCCCATTCTAGTCAAAATTCTAGTACTACACAATGTTTGTTTTGATTTGCTATGAAAGTTTGACAGATAAAATGAGGGGTTCGTGAATTTCCCTATGTTCCGAGGGGTGCATCGATTAGCTTGGGACCGAAGATAGTACTAGAGCTGAGCCAAAAAGTTGAGCACGTTGTTTCGTTGTAAATTGGCTCACCACTTTAGTAGCCTATTGGTCCCAAGCAAACGATTAACGTACCCTATTCTAGTTGAAATTCTATTACTACACTATGTTTGTTTTGATTCGCTATGAAAGTTTGACAGATAACATCAGGGGTGTGTGGATTCATGCAGAACATGCAGGGGTGAGTGAAATAGCTTGGGACTGCTTGGGACCGTTGTTCTGGTACTGAGTGAGCCAAAAATAATAATGATTTTCTTCGGGACCCAGTGGTCTTAGAGTTACCTCTATGCTACTAGTCTTAAGGTTACCTCTATGGTATGACACTCCTCCTATCCTCCAAAATGCTTTACCGATAGAAACGCAAATGGTTGAGATGTCGATGCTTACGAATGTATTGGTCACAATGATGCACACCTCTGTTGAATGTTTTTGGGTGATTAAGTTTATGGAATCGACGGGAAGATAAAATCATAGAGGTAACTCTAAGACCACTGGGTCCCGAAGAAAATCATTATTATTTTTGGCTCACTCAGTACCAGAACAACGGTCCCAAGCAGTCCCAAGCTATTTCACTCACCCCTGCATGTTCTGCATGAATCCACACACCCCTGATATTATCTGTCAAACTTTCATAGCGAATCAAAACAAACATAGTGTAGTAATAGAATTTCAACTAGAATAGGGTACGTTAATCGTTTGCTTGGGACCAATAGGCTACTAAAGTGGTGAGCCAATTTAAAATCGTTAGTTTCGTATTGATTGTTGATAAAATTCATCCATGTATCTACAAATTTATTTATTTTTTTTTTATTTAAAGGTGATGATTTTCCAGAAAGTAATCTTTGCACTCAAAATGCCCATTTATTTACCTACTTTGGAAAGGGAGAGGGTTGTTTCGGCCAACTGGTCTGTTAGGTCTATGGTCCATGGTCTATGAAAAATTATCTTTCTTTCCGTATCAATACCTACGAGAATGGCAACATTGACTACCCAGACAATTGCATTGATGTTGTAGTTAGGCGAGACAAGAGCAAATCTTCAAAATTCAAAACCGTTGTGGTTAACAGTTAATTATGGCGATTTTTTCGACATACCAACTCAATAGATTAGGAATGCAATCCCACGACAAAAAAATGTGTGATGACTTCCATTTCCTGATATCATCTACTGCGTTCTCCCGGCATACATAGAATGTGAACTAATCAATCGGTCGTGCTCCATCTTCCGTAATCTCCGGAACCAATCGTACAATCGTCTCGTAGGCTAATCTTGTAAAACTTCCCATTGCCATTCAGTTTGTTCGACATAATTTGCTCGATTAAGATTTCAGTTCGATTGTTCCATTCTCGCACCAGTGTAGATATTTCTTTTTCCATCCTTTTGTAGCAGTGCTAATCAAATTTGTGTTCATTTTGTTCAGGGTAAGTACAATTTTTGGTCATCTGTTCATGAATGTACAACCTTTGCAATCCCCAAATTATTCGAATCCTAATTTCATCGCTTATTCTTCTTCTTCTTTGATTTAATTACAGGCAAAGTTTCTCTTAAAATCCATCCTTACACATCCACATCCTACCAGAGACACATGCTTTACAAGGTGTGTTTTGTGTAGTTTTCAGTAGACGGCTGTACGAAAATAATACACGCCGATGTAAAACTTAGTCAAATCACTATGGTGCAATGAAACAAAAAAAAAATATCAATCGTTATGATTGAAACATAGAAAAGTATCGATAAAAAAAATAATGTTACTGCATAACTAGCCAAAGAAAACAAAACCCATAGACCTGAACAACAACATGGAATGAGAATAAGAAATGCCTATCGACCAAAGACTTTTCAGTATATTAAATTAACCCCCCCTCCCTCGGAAATTCAACCCCAACGAATGTAACTAGTCTCAGCGAAGTAATATCTACGACGACGACTCTGGCAAACATATATATATCACACGATGCGGCGCTTATTGCAAACTCTTCCTAAATCTTTTGTACAAAAAAAAAAGTATTCCGGTGATATAGTATGGATAATTTTCCGACTAATTCCTAATTTTGAAGTACCTTACCATTTGTACAAATCTAGTACTACCAACACGAATCATATGTTAATTTGTAAATACATACATCGATATACCTATCGTACCGAAATCGGTTCCAACCGGCGACTGGGTGAAGTGCAAAACGATGGTGATCTTTTAATGAGCAGGTGAAAACTAGAACAGAAGAATATTCGTAGTAATATCGATGGTTTTGGGAAATGGAACGTAGCGAAATCGTTGAATAAATCGAACAAAATTAGTAAATTCGAACAATGTGTCCTCGTTGTTTTCTATTGATCCGAAATTCCAATCCAAAAAGATTTAAAGAACAGTTCATGTTCAACACCGTAAATATCAACAGTTATCTTTAAAGCCTCCTACCCTAAAATTGAGATAGTCTATTGCAAATCCCGTAGTATGATTCTACTCGTTTGGGAGTCCGAAAACAGATGACAGTTAATAAAATTTGAAAAAATAAATAATTGGAAACAGAAGATACTGGCATGTTTTGTGAGAAAAAGTTGTAAGTGGTATCGCATGATTTGATTACTTGCCATGAACCTACACACTTAGTTTTTTCTACCGAGCTCGGCTGTGCAAATCTCGGCAAAAATAAGTTTCACTGAGATCTCAGCAAAAGTGACATTTGATTGCTGAGTCTCGGATAATGCTTAGCTGAATCTCAGCAACAGGACTACGAAATTTTTGTTCGATTTTCTAGTCTGTAATCTCTGTACTCTGTATTATTTAACGGTTCTGACGTTTTCGAAGATGTCGCGCAGCAGGAGAATGCATACGATGAGGGTTTCTCAGTTTATGAAAGTGAAACGGAATAAATGTAACCCACCGATAAGACTACAAATAGAACATAATATAATCCCCTAACAAATTATTTGATTTTTGTATCATTTTGATGTATTTAGTGACAAGCCTGCCATCCGTCGTCTGGCTCGACGTGGTTGTGTCAAGCGTCTCCGGTCTGATCTTCGAGTAAACACGAGGCGTGCTGAAGGTGCTCCTAGAAAAATCCGTGATGCCATCACCTACACTGAACACGCCAAGCGCAAAACCTTCACGGCCATGGATGTCGCCTACGCTCTGAAGTGACAGGGACGCACTCTGTACGGTTTCGGAGGTTAAAACTTATCACCAACATAACAAAACGGACCTTTTCAGGGCCACCAAGTTCATTTCAGAAAAGAGTTAGAATATAATTTATATAGGGGAAACAGCCCTATTGGTGCGGTACGTTAGCAGCGTTAGAAGCCTATTGCTGTGTATGGAGACCTCGGAGTTGCTTCGAAGTTTGGTTACAAGATTACAACTCTGGAGAGCAGCGGCGCCCGTGGTGTAGTGGTAAGCGTCCTAGCAGGCCTGAGCTCAATCCCAGTCGGCGCTGTCGGGAAGTTCTGAGGCATAACATCTCTGATCACGCCTTCCTTCGGAAGGAAAGTAATCCCGGTTCATGAGTTGATGGGTCAATAGGTAGGGTCCAGGTGTGAGTAGCATTGGTGCTCAGCACGGAAAACAAATCCAAGGAAAAAAACTGAGAGTATTTTGTGTGGTCGTTGGGGGCGTGTGGTTCTGAATTGGCAACAAAATGTTCCGCAATTGCATCCTCCCTATTCGTACACGCCCGAAGATCGGAGGCGAATGTCACTTCAACTTGTTTCATCTAGGAACCATTCTCTGATGACTGTGTTGGGGAAGCAGCATATACATGTACGTAATTGGTGGATTTGTAAGTTATTTCGAAGCTTTTGGACAATGCTTGACATTTACCGCTTTTTCAATAGTTTCAACTTGAAAATCAACAGTCGAAAGCATTGTTATCGATGCGTAGAAATGTTTCTGATCGATTGGTGATAAAATTATTGAAATTGGTCCAGGGGCAGCATAATTACATTTTCCGGTTTTCATAAAGTGTACCCCCATCTTCCCGAAAGACGTAGTCCTACGTCAAAACTAAGTGTGTAGGTTGTTCTAATACAGCAGGGCAATCAAATCGATTCTGCATAGCGTCAGTAACAAACATAGCTCTTAGAGTGTCGCGGCGAGTGTTGAGAGGTTCTAGGTGTATTGATGAACAATTTTCCTCATAGGGGGGCAGGCGAAAAGGATCACACCACGGTAACCGCTGAAGTGCGTAGCGAATGAATCTGCGTTGAACTGACTCGATCCGCTCAACTCCATTATGGTGAAAAGGTTTCCAAACAGCTGCACCATATTTTAATGTAGATCTTATTAGGGAACAGTATATCGATTTAAGGCAGTAGACGCCAGTGAAATCCTTAGCTATCCTAAAGATAAATCCCAAAGAGCTGGAGGCTTTTCTACATTCATGTGTTGTTTGAACGTCAGTTGTGAGCTCTAAAATCAACTCGTGTTTTGTTTCTCTCATACATACGTGTTCGACGCTTCATTTCTATAACGCCTAGCTAAACTATCAGCAAGAAACGAAAATAAAAAAGCAGGACGCTTAGAAGGAAAGGCTGGCTGTGGAACTTCTCGTTGTTGCTTTGCTCATCGCTTTCAATGTAACTAACGTCGATTTTCTAGTTAAACGAATATCATTATGGCTTTCAATCCCCTTTCACGAACACTCTATCACCGCTCTTTCAATTTGTTTAAAATGCGTTATGTCCCGTTTTTGATTATTTTTTTTAGATAAATATATGGATGGAAGATAAATTAAAAATATTACGTGTAATCTTCACGTGTTTTCACGTGAGAAATGCTTTAAATGTGTTATTTCATTTTCCGTCATATACGTCATGAAACCTCTGTTGATGTTTCATGAAAGAGAAAACTATCAAAGTCGAGCGCTCTTTCGCTCATCCGTTTCACCGAAGCTTGAAAGGAAGACCAATGTAGCGACGAAAGAAAGAGAGACAAGCGATTGAACATTTGTTTGCGCACGCCGACTGAGGTTCTAGAATGCTGCGAAGCTGTTCGACTTTAACAGAAAAAGAAAGCCAGCAGTCTCTTCGTCGCATCGATTTGGTCGATTGAAGCTGATATTGTGACGCCCTGGTTGTGAGTCCAAGACAATATTCAGGTCCTTCACGTGACTTACTCGTTCAATTTAAATGAAGTGTGTAATTGAACTTTATGGGGCGAGAGAAGGTGATTATCGAGGACTTGTTAGGGTTTACTGTCATGCGGTTCAAGTCACACCAGTCACTGAATCTATTAATTTGATTTTGTAGAAACATAGCGTCAGCATGAGTTTGAATTTTGAAAAAAAATCTTAAGATCATCAGCGTAGGACAAACAAGCGTCTCTAGCACAAAGTTGAAATAAATTAGGAAAATTAGTGGCCCGAGGTGACTTCCTTGAGGAATACCTGAAGTTGCTGGGAAAGCGATCGAATTGCAATCCTCAATAGACACACTGAGTTGGCGCTCGATAAATTACAACTGGAACCAAGATAGTATACATCCCTAGCCGTTCCGATTTAGCTTGATTGCGTGATTGATGTTGCTAGGCTTCTCTTAACGTACTTGATGAAGCTTAGCAGGTTGCGAGTCGTTGATAGGTTGGAAACGAATCCGTGTTGGTCTTCTACTTACAGTGCGATAACCATGTCTCCATAAGAACCAATCCGAAGAGTTTTGAGATAACCAACAGCGAGGTGATTCCACGGAAGTTGACTACAACCTTTCAGCCTCCTTTCTTAAGAACTGGATACATTTGTGCGTGCTTCCAGCAGATCGGGAAGATTCCAGTGCTCAAAGACAATCCGAAGAGATGGCTTCAGTAAATACGTTGAGTGTTCCTTTAGAAAAACGGACGGTATTCTGTCTGGTTCGGGATTTTGAGACGATTTCAGCCTGGGTGCTAACCGATGAGATGAAAGCTTCATCGTCCGGGATTTCGTTCAGTACCTGTTTGTAGACGGGCACATTGGAAGCATCTATAGCAATTTTTTGGAACGATATACTCTCGTTGGCAAACATGCTAGAAAATTTGTTTGCGAAGAGCTGGCAAATTTCTTCAAGGCTAGATGCAACGTTAACTCCTTACTAGGGCGAGCTGCCAGGTGGTTTTATAAAAAATCTGTATCCACTCTATTAAAAAATCTGTATTTTCTGTATTGACGATTTTTTTCTTAATTAATCATGTTTTGTTGTTTTACAAATACAGTGCATACAAAATAACCATAAAAAGTGCTTAACCACCTATTCGGGCTATCGTACTAACCATACTGGATATAATTGCGCCATTTGTGATATCGTCCGTACTTATTTATAAGAGTGATATGAAGCCGTTTGAAAATGTATGGAGATTTTAGTTTCTATTCATTATCTTCCTGATAAGCAGTTTTAAATGCAAAAAAGTGCACGAGTTTATTACTATTTAATATTTTTAATATAGATGAATACAATTAATTACATCATTTGTGTGGTAGTTACACCGAAAAGTCGAGAGATGTCGCCCCGCCAGTGCTGGTAAAATCATTTTTGCAGTATGGAGAATATCAGAAAATCCGCAATTTCTTACGAAATACATTTTCAATGCAAGTAAAATGTTTACGAGTACTTGTATTTGTACCATTTTAATGTGCTCGGGCACTTTTCTTGTATTTAACATACATGCTTATATTGGAAATATTCAATTAATACTGTAAATCCCCATACAATCTCAAATCGTTTACTACCAGCTCCATATGCATCCGAAAGCGGTTGGTCCTCTGGTTGTGAATGCTGTCAAAAACACCATAACATGATTAATTGTCGATGGAAATTTGATAGGTTCCCGAGCAGAGGGTGAGAACAAAATGAAAACAAAAATTCTGTTGTTTTCATTATTCCTGATAACTCAAATTGATTTCATTTTGATGGAGTTGATGGCTAACAGAACAAAAATGAGAGCTAAAAGATATGCGAAGAATACCAAAATTATAACATATATTGATATTAGTGAGAACTGCTTGATAACTTATTTTGATATGGATATTTTATTTAGATTACAAATTTAGTTATCAACATGTTATTGCATGCATGCCGAAAAAACAAAATAAAAATACATCAAATTTTGATGTCATCATGAGTTATTAAAAGGCAGCTATATAAACGCACAGTGGAATCGATTAAATGTTCCATAAACTTTTTAATTTTTTTTTATGTTAGAGGAGCTTAGCGACGAGTAAGCTTCTTCTAGTCTTTTGAGCCAAATTGGATTTCGTTTTCTTTCATGTTCGCCTTTTTCCTTCTGTGAAGTTATATTTAGTAGAGAGTCGCGAATTTTGTGATATTCTCCATACTGCAAAA